GCTGATACAAAATCGCTAATATTTCAAGGTTATGTTGTTAGCAGATGTCCAATCCTACGATATGACGTTTTACAGCTGACAATTTTAACAATAACATACTATTGAGACCATCTTTTGTCAAACGGCGGAAACTTATTTATACTCCTAATAGTTAGGAAACGTTTCGATCTGTGTTTTTTCTTTAATATAATAAAAGAGGTCAAATTTGAGTCAAAAACAAGATATTTTTAATAATAAGAACAATTTTTAAAATATACATATAACCGCGATATATTTCGACTCTGACTTGAGTCTTCTTCAGTCGCAAAAAATAATAAATAAATAAAATATAATAAAAATCATATAGATGTCGGAAAATAAGAAGTGGTCGCAATGTAAAATAAGTTAAATAAGTTACAAAAGAGCGGTCGCGTTGGTCATCCATATGAAGCAGTATGTTAAAAATCGAAGCAAAGTTAGTCTGTGGTAAGTAAAAAAGGTGTAATTACCTTGTGAATGACAGCCTATAATAAAGAATGGAAGTACTCAGTAGTTGCACTACAAGAATAAACTCACAAATAACTTATTTGGAAGCTCGTAGTCAAATGTTGGAAACGGAGATAAGAGGCAAGAGATTGTATACAGGTATCTTCACTGAGAGGTTGTTTCTCGAGATAACCTTAACGTTGAAAACAATTCAGTAAATTGAAATACAAAGTGTCAAGTAATTCCAAATCTTTAACAGAATTTATAAGCCGTATGACTGTCGTTTTATGTTATCTCGGAAATGAATCTTTTGTAATAATAATTAGATTCACAATCTAAAATCTGGACATTTTTCCAATTGAAAGAATGATTGAGGTTTGTCCTGTGTTTTGAAATTACTTACAGTTGGGAAAAATCACGTTTTATATAACATTATTAATGTGTTCTTTAAGTAACATTCTTTTAAAAAAGAAAAAAGTATTACGGTTCATAAAATTATCTATTACGAAGACTTATAAAAAAATCCCTCTTGTCAAATACTGCCATCTGGACAAAACAGATTATAATACTATTATTGGTTTTTATCAATATGGAGTGGGTAATAAAGAAAGAAGCACATCATATAAAATCACATCTCTTCTTCTTCGTTCACAGACAAGATTCTTGCAAATCCTATAATGTCAACCAACAGTAAATGATTCTTAAACATTTCTGATACTGAAATCCCCGAACATGTCTCTAATATTCTACGACTAGGAGAAAACTTTTGTCTTTCTCAAAGCTTCAATAAAAATACATTAATTTATGAGTACATTAAAGACACTGAATTTAATCTTAAAAACCGCGATATCGATTTGAAAGAAAGAGCGAGAAATGTTCCCAGCAAACAATTTGGTTGTCAGATGTCGCGATTTTGCCGCCACACCAAATCCATATCCATCTGTGTCCTCAGTAGGATATGGTTTTGGTGAGTTTTGGTGACCATGTTGCGTTTTTTGTGTCTGTGTGTCAACAGCTTTGGCAGCACACAAAGCATGTTTCCGTATTGTAGCGTTTCTGCACACAGTTTCTGTTGCCAGGTCTGCACAGTCAGAAATTGTTTGCTGTGGGTTATTATATCAAGATTACAATATTTTCTTAATAATAAATGTAACTTTTCCCACAGATAAGAAATTACTTATTATGTACAGACGGCGTCATTAATTCGAAGAATAGGCGCGGGGATCACATAAAAAGTCCAGTTGATCCAAATATCCATTAGTCCCAAAATCGGGTGTCCAGTTGTGGAAACCCGATTGCTACTAGTTAGTTAG